CAGTGTTGAAAGATAAATAATCCTTTGGGCCAGACATCATGTGGTTGGGGAGTTCTGTCTGGTGTAGATATCATTTAAATCACACCCTGCTCAGTTTGATGATACTGATTGTATTTTGAGTTTTAATCATTAGAGGCAGAAAAACAGCAACAAAGCACCAAAATGAATTAATTGTAATGCAAATGAATCTATTTGTAGAGCACATATCCATAAACACAGATACAAGCATTTATAACCTGATGCACACACATCATGTGTGTGCGGACGTACCTACATAGATGCATTGTTTAACCAAGTTCAGGAAAGTCATGTAATTCTAATTTTTAAAAGTTATAGGTTAAAATGCCAGGAAGTAATCTCATCTCTCCACTTGTACACCAAACCCACTTCTTTATATTTCCAAAACAAAATACATTTCCTGTGGACTTTTCATTGAGTTATAGTTGCTATACAATATTCAAGATTCCATAGTACTTCATTACTGGTAAGCTCTGTGTATGTGAAATATCTCATACGCTGAATTGCTAACAGAGTGTAGAATAAACTCTGTTGGGTAGTTTCAACTAGGGAGAACATGGAATAAATTTTGAGGTAAGTATTGGGTTGGCCAGAAATTTTGTTTTTTTTCCTGAAACCCTAATGAACTTTTTGGCCAACACAATATAACATGAGACAGGCTCTGGAATTAAGGAATGAGATATACTTTAAAAAATTGCTCCAAGGAAATGATAGTAAGGAAGATAAGGAATATAACAAATTCCTGTGCTTTTCATGAGGACCAATATTTTCTGTATGTGATAAACATTTGTTACAGTTTTCTTTGGGCTATTGCTCAGGCTATATTCTATTTACATCATTTGTCTAGAGTAAGTTTTCAGGAAATTTGATGTTGATTACTCGTTTTCTTTTTCTTTGCTGCACAAACAATAATAAATCAGGAATAACAGAAATCTAAAAATAAAAAGGTAAACACAATTTTTCTTCTCTTGTTCATATGCATGTACAATTTTCATAATTACAGTGCTTTCTGATTTTTCCTTTTGAATTTCTGTGTCTCTGCATTTCTCTTATTGTTCACTGATGTCCTCATTTTTAGTGGCTTCATCACATTTTACCTTTGTGATGTAGGCTCATTTACTTAACTCTGTCAGTGGTGAACATTTACGTTGCTAGGCTTCATTTGTAAGAAGCACTTCTGTTTGTCCACAGGGCATCCATTCGCCTCTTTTTCCTTTCTAACAGGACTCAGTTTTGTAACAATTCTCACACATCTCCTGTGGGACTCACGGGAGGACGTGTCCATCCGTAACCTCAGGGTGAGACAGGTTTAGTGAAGCTAGTTGGCACCTGGCATTCCTTTGGTGAATGCTAAGGGAGACCAAATGTCACTAGTCTCGGTTGGCTTAGGGCAATGCCACCAGACAGAGGGACTTGCATCCCCTGTGTCTCTTATGTGACTGTGTGACTCGAGGAATGATATTTAATCACTCTGGGTCTCATTTCCCTCATCTATAAGTTAATGATTATAATAGCACCGGCAACCATGGTTATTTGAAGAATAAAAAGGTGAGTATGCCTTAAGTTCTAAACTTATTTGTAAATGCTTAGCATAGCATGGGCACATAGCAAGTATTCTGTGTCACTTATATTTTTCAGAGTTCTATCACTTGTAAAGTCTCACGTTTTCAGAAAATGGCTCAAGATAGGATTCCTTCTATACTGAGCACACATTGCGTTTGTGTGTGTGTTTAGGTGCAGAAATTGGAGACCTTCATCTGTTACAGTTTTATAACTAGGGCTCTTATTTAATCCATATGACAAATAAGATCCAAAGAACTAAAGAAAATGTACTCAAGTCTAACTTTTAATGACTGCTTTTCGTCTGTTCCCCCAGTCAAATGCTGTCTTTTAACATTTGCACAGATAACACCATGGTACTTGCTTGTTTGTCTGTCCATCTAATCATCAAAACCTCATTTTAAAAACTCCTACTCTGGGCCAGGAATAGCTCTAGCTTCTGGGGAATTCAGGGGAAAAAAAAGACTGAAGTTTGCTCTAAATATGGTGAGAAGCCATCGGCTGGCTTTGTTTGGGGGAAGGCAGGATGTAAGTCGTATTTAAGAAGGATCATTGCTCTGTGAGCCTGGACTCATAGAGCGAGTGGAGGAAGACGGCGCTCCCAGGGAGGGCAGGTAGGAGATCTGATGAGGGCTGATGGTGGCCTGGCGCAGGGAGGGCAGGTAGGAGATCTGATGAGGGCTGATGGTGGCCTGGCCCAGGGAGGGCAGGTAGGAGATCTGATGAGGGCTGATGGTGGCCTGGCGCAGAACGGTGGTTGCAGAGGAGGTGAGGAGGACAGGGGTCCAGGGTGCAGTCTCTGTTAACATTCTAAACAGCATCTCTAGGAAGGAAGGAGTGAAAATACCCCCACCGCACGCTTGTCTCCAGCATCAGTCTTGTCAGAGACAATCGCTGTCATCAGTTTAGTGTGTTTGTATCCCCAAACCGTTTTCTACAAATAATCTACACATTTTTATGTACATTTAAAATTTGTCATTGACAAATAATTATTTGTCATTGACAAAGTAATTTACACATTATTGTCTTTTACCAAAAGCTTGTCATTTATAAATAATTATTTGTCCTTTAAAAATAATTTATGTACACATAAAATAAATATTTTTTTGGAATTTATTTTCAATTTTTTTCTTATTTTATGCTGACGTCTTTCCTGGAACTGAATTATGAATTAATAATGATTTGAAACTCCTTGGAAACAACTTCCTGGTAATCAGTCTGTGATATAAATAGTTTATTAAGACAACAAGCCAGTAAGCTGATGACATTGGCGTAGGTAAGTCTTTTTTTTCTCCCCTTTGTGTTAGGAGAGTGCAGTTTCCCAGGGTTTGAATGCCTATTCGACTCTCTTCATTTCATTCCCTTTCCTTCTTTTTCTCAGTTTTAAACTTTGGGCTGGAAACCAGTAGAGGGCAGTGATAACCCTGTAGATGCAAGAAGTCTCATGGACAGATGCAAACAAACAAAAAGTGGAACAGGGTTTTAAGACAGTGCAGTACAGAAATGCAGTTTGGGGTTTTGTTTTTGAAAGTCAGAACTATTTATACTACTAGTGGGAGGGACCCTGGGACCCTCCTCACCTCGCTTTTGAGTGTGGGCTTCTAAAAAAGTATTCTAATATACACAACAAGTGATCTTATTAGAGTGAAATGTTTAGCATGTTCTCATATAACTATAAATCATTTTATTTAGTCAAAAATGTTCCCAGACTGAAATCTTTTGAGCTGTATAAATTGGTTAGAAAATTGAAGTAGGCTTGGTTGAGAGTTATGTTTTTACTTGGTTTATTCTTTAAGATGGTGTGTATATGTGTATCCAGTGTTTTAAAAAGTGTTCATGAGGTTCTATCTATGCCTGTCATGGGCGTGTAAAGTGTCTGTGAATAGCAAGTGTAATTTGAAGTCATTATTTGTTCCTGTTGTGAAAAACCCAAACTGATGCAAGTTTTGAATTTGGGTTTCTAACAACATGTAAACAAGCAGAAATATTCTAGAATTAGTGCATACATTTATTCATTTATTGACAGAGGGAATTCAGCCTATCGAACTACTACAGAAACCAACCCTTAAATAGTCAAACAGGAATGTCAAATGATCAAGTCCTGGAAGAAGAACACATGGTTTTCTCTAAGTCAGAGCCTGTGTATAAAGAACTCTCAGTGTAATCTCAGCGCTTCTCAGCTGTGCAAAGTCTTTCAGGATTTTACTCATTAACTGCACTAAAATTATTTACCGTCTACATGGCAAATATTTTTGGAAGCTCATATTCAGAGGCAGAGCAGCGGTCTATGTGATGGATATCCCCGTGTGCTGATAGATGTTTCATGGCCAGGAAACGGTCTACATTCTACCCTCGAAGATGAGGGCTGCCTTCAGAAGCGTCCATCTCAGTGTCTCCACTGAAGCATCGTGTGGCTTCAAAACAAGAAAAGTAGAGGTTTTCTAAGAAATGTAAGGAGTTCATTTTCAGGATAGTTTATGCTTTTGTGCATCGAGGAGTCTGCGGAGGTGACTGGCCTTATGTCACAGGGGGCTGTGTCCCCTTTCCCCATGAGTAGCTTTGAGGACTCCAGGCTACATTTTCCGATTCACGACGACAGTGGAACCTCAGGTCCCGTGACGCCTGATTCTGGGTCTTAGTTTCCCAGTCTCTGATGATTTAATGAGCCAGACTGCAACAATGCGCTGGTTTTTCTTGGCTTACTTCCTTTATAGTAAAACTGGAATAGGATATGGCAGCTCGTGGCTTCCCGCCTCTGGATGGCAGTAACTCCTGCCTGAATGTTCACAACCTTTAACTGCAATATCTCGAAGTCAGGATTTCCCGTCCTTTGTCGGTTTTCCATCCAAAGAAAACACTCATTTTACTTAGTCTGAAATTATATATGTACATGCATGCATATATATCTTTTAAATTTATATATATTTGGAAACTGAGTATAAACTAGAATCTGTTTAGTGTTAATAGTTGATAGCATAAATCCCAGGTTAAAAGGAAAATGAGGACACAATGAGCCAACCTAAGAAAAAAAAATTGGCGTTTGGACCTTTCCATATGTTTCTATGTGATTCATGTTCCTTCTTACATAAATTAACAAACACTGCTGAGCCAACTGTATTTCTTACCTCGCGACCACAGGACATGGCTAAGGCTCTCGGAATGCATCCAGGCCCTGGGAGTGGGCACGTCTTCCACTAAAATGATGTTCTCTGATTAATGCTGACCATCTGGATTTTCTGCGACTTTTCATAGACACAAAGAATCAGAGAGCTTAAACATTAAACACAGTGAAACGCACACACTAAATTCAGGTCCCCTGGTCTGTGCACGCAGCGGCTGCTGCAGGGCCAGGCGCTGGCATCCGCCTGGGCTGTGGGCTCCTTTTCCGCCTGCGTTAGCTTCCTGGCCCTCCTCTCCTCCTCCTAGGCGCGCTGCTCCTTTCCTTTGAGTCCCTGGTTCTCCGCAGCCCCAGACGCGCTGGCAGGATCGCGCCCTGGGATCTCTGTGCTAAAGCCCGCGCAGGCCCCGTGGGGTGCCGCCCTCGGTTGAGGAGCCAGGCTGGGCTTGAGGGGAGCGGCTGCTGCCTGCTCAGCTCTGCGGCCGCCTGCCGCCCCTGCAGCAGGAAGAAGATGCCCTTAGGAAATTCTGCACATCAGGCTTGCCGCCGCCTCCTCTTCTATTGTTTTTTAAACAAGTATTCCGCCGGGAATTGAAGGTGTCTTGAAAGGGATTCATTAAGACCAAAATTTACTGCATCGCTCTTGGATCTGTCACCTTTTGACATCTAACTGCAGTGACTGCAGCTGCTGAGGACTTCACGTAACTGCCTTCAAATTGTTGATTTAGTTGACTTTCCTGTATACCCGTACATGTAGCTCTTTTTAACTCAGAAGAGTGAGTGTAATTTTTATGGCTTCTAGATGATAAAATTTTCAAGTAAATATTATTACTGTGGTCATTTTCTTTGCCTCTAATGAAATAGTCTGTTTATGAGGACAAGGGCGGCGCTTCCTTTGGGAAAGAATGGAGAGTCTTCTTGCGGAAATAGCTAGAACAGAAAAAGCTCCACACCAAGGAGAGCATGAACCTTGGTAGAAAAGTCAGTTTTCAAAGGAAGGAATTCAGACTCACGGAATCCAATAGTGTTGGAAGCAGGTGTGGAATCTGGGATCAAGTTAACAGGAACAGGAGTCCAGCAAATCGGAAGGTGAAACGAGAGGGGGTCCTGAGGCTCAGCTTCTGGGGTGCTTCCTTCTTCTCCTTTCCGAAGTTTCAGGTGTAAATCCGTGCTGTCGACTTGGTGCCTTCACCTGCTTATCCACAGAGTGACTCATGCTGGTCAAAGAGAGCAGTGACCCTGGGCAGTTCTTGTACACGGTCATCATCTGGCTGGGGTTGTTTCCAGCATGTAAAGACAGCACCAGTGCCCAGCTCAGTAAGAACTGACCACATTGCCACGTTGTCATGGACGGAACCTGACATTCTGAAGATTTGTGTTGAGCTAGGTCAGGGCCCTTCGTAGTTTCCACTCTGCCCACTTCTGAAATTATAGGATACCTTTCTTTTCTCTTGTTCTGTTTTATTGAGATATAATTGTTGTACAGCACTTTCAAAGGTATATAGCATAATGACATGACTTACGTACATCATGAAGTGATTATTACAAGTTTAGTGAACATCCATCTCATAGAGATATAAAATAAAAAAAATTTTCTTATGATGAGGAACCTTAGATACTCTCTTAATAACTTTCATATATAACATACAGCAGTATTAACTGTATTTGTCATATTGTATGTTATATCCCCTCGAGGAGGAAATGGCAACCCACTCAGGTGTTCTTGCCTGGAAAATTCCATGGACAGAGGAGCCTGGAGGGCTACAGTCCATGGGGTCACAAAGAGTTTGACATGACTGAGTGAGTGAGTGCACACACACATTTATTTATCTTTTAACTGGAGTTTTGTAGCTTTTGGTTGTCTTTATCCAGTCACCCTCACCCCCCCATTATGATCTCTTTTGCTGTGAATTTGTTTTTGAAGTATAATTGACCTATAGCACTAGGTTAGGTCCTGGTACATGACAGTGATTTGATATTTCTAAACGTTATAGAATGATCACCATGGTAAATGCAGTTACCTTACATCACCATACAAAGATCTTACATTATTATTGACTGTATTCCCCACACTGTACATTTCTCACCTATGACTTTCATTTTGTAACTGGAAGTTTATACCTCTTAATATCCCTCGCCTGTTTCTTTCCTTTCCACTCCCCCCTGACAACCACCTATTTGCTCTTGGTATCTATGAGTCTCTTTCAACTTTGTTGATTCATTTGTTTTGTCTTTTAGATTCCACATAAAAGTGACCTTATACAGTACTTGTTTCTCTGACTTACTCCACTTAGCACAATAACCTCTAGGTCTATCTGTCTTGTCACATTTGGCAAGAGCTTGTTCTGTTTTATGGCTGAGTAGCGTTTCATCGGGTATATGTACCACGTCGTTTTTATCCGTCTGCTCATGGACACTTAGGTTACTTCCATATCTTGGCTATGCTGCAGTGAACATAGGGATGCATGTGTCTTTTTGAATTAGTGTTTTTGTTTTCATCTAATGTATCCACCAGCAATGGAATTGCTGGTTCGTATGTTAGTTCTAGTCTTTATTTTTTGAGGAATGTCTACTCCATAGCAACTGTACCAGTTTACAGTCCCACCCACAGTGCACTTTTAATTTGTGTGTGTCTTTAGCTCTGACCTGAGTATAGGCAGCAAATATATGGGTCTTGTTTTTGTATCCATTCAGCCATTCTGTGTCTTTTGATTGGAGCATTTAGTCCATTTACATTTAATGTAGTTATTAATAGGAATGTACTTATTGCCACTTTGTAAGCTGTTTTCAGTTTGGTTTTGTAATTCTTCTTTGTTCCTTCTTTTTTCCTCTTCCCTTGTGATTTGGTGCCTATCTTTAGTGTTATGTTTGAATTTCTTTCTCGTGTGTGTGTGTGTATCTATTATATATTTTTGGCTTGTAGTTACTGTGAGGTTTACATATAGCAATATGTGTGTGTATGTATTTTTTACTCTCCCCACGTTTAATGTTTTGCCACCATATTTTACATATTTTTTTGGTTTTGTATATCCCTTAGCTGATTATTGTGGATATGGATGATTTTACTGTTTTTGTTATCTGACCTTCCTACGAGCTTTGTAGGTGGTTGATCTATCACTTTTGTTGCCTTTACTAAAGAGATTTTTCTTTTGTAATTTTTATATTTCTAGTTGTGTTTTTTTCTTTTCCACTTAAATAAGTTTCTTTAACGTTTCTTGTAGAGTTGGTTTAGTAGTGATGAACTCCTTTGCTTGTCTGTAAAAGTCTTTCTCCATCAAGTCTAAACAATAGCTTTACCAGGTAGAATCGGTTTTTCCCTTTCAGCACTTTAAATTTATCATGCCACTTCCTTCACTGTAGAGTTTCTACTCAGTTTACAGTCTCATGGGAGTTCGTTTGTACATAACTGATAGTTTTCCCCTTGCTGCTTTTAATATTCTCTGCTCTCTATTCCCCCCGCCCCCCCACCGCCACCTCCAGTTTGCTGAGCATTTTTGTGATCATTACCTTGAACTCTTTATCAGGTAAATCACTTATCTCCACTTCACTTAGCTCTTCTTCTGGGGTTTTATCTTGTTCCTTCATTTCAAAAATACCACTCTGTTGTCTCATTTTGCCTGTTTTCTCTGTTTCTGTATCTGTGTATTAGGCAGGTCAGTTACATTTCTTGATTTTGGAGAAGTGACCTTATAGAAGATGTTTTGTAGGGCGCAGTAGCACTCTCCCCTCTGGTGACCAGAGCTGACTTCTCTAGGCGTGCCTGTTCTGTGGGCTGCATGGGCCCTTCTGTTGTGGTGCGCTGACCCATGTGGGCCCGCTGGTAGGCATGACTGGCTTCTGGCTTGGTTGCCTACCAGCCCCCATCTAGTGCAGAGACTGTTAACCTTTGATGTTGCCAGAAAAATTGGGTTCTGGGGTGGCTGGCTGTGGGCCGGAGTCCCAGAGCTGGTGTTAGCTTGCTGATTGGTGGGCCCAGGTCAGGAGTGATTGACTCTGGGGATCTATGGGGTCTTAGGCTTGTGCTGGCCTGCTGCAGGGTAGGGTGGCTGCCTGTGGGTGCAGGGTCCCAGAGCTGGTGCTGGCTGGCTGGTGTATACAGCCGGGTCCCAGGGCTGCTGGCTGAGGGGCCCAGGGAGTCTTGGAGGTGATGTCCCCGCTCTGGTGGGCAAGGCAGGGGGGTCATGCCTGCTCTCTGGCGGCTGCAGTCTGTCTTGGGGCTAGTGCTAGCCTACTGTTGGGCAGGGCCAGGTCCTAGCGACTCTGATGGATTGGGCTGGGTACCAGGGGGCCGAGAGGGCTCGTGGAGGCCTGTGACTGCTGCCCGCCCCCCAGTGGGAGGAGCTGTGTCCCCAGGTAGCCGGCTGCTTGGCCTGGCGGCCCAAGACTGGTGCTGACTGGCTGGTGAGCCAGGTTGTGTCCTGGTGCTACTTAGCTAGAGGAGGGACTCCATAGTGTCACTGGCCAGCCCCAGTGTCCTCATGGTAGGATGCATGCCCAGAGAGTTGCCGCCAGCATCCGTACCCTCAGGGTGAGTCCCAGGTGCCTCCGGCCTCTCCAGGAACAGCCCTCTAAGGGGCCAGGCGCCCTCCTGCCCTCCAGGACCAGCCGGTAGGTCTGACATGGCTCCTTTCAGACCGCTGCTCCTGCCTGAGTCTCACAGTGTGAGATGTTGTGCGTGCCCTTTAAGAATGGAATCTGTGTTCCTGCAGCCCTCCGGGGCTCCTGAACGCAAGCCGGCTGGCCTTTGAAGCCAAAATGTTCTGGGGGCTCATCTTCCCCGTGCCGGACCCCCTGGCCGGGGGGTTTGATGTGGGGTGTGATCTCCTTGCTCCCTGGGGAGACCCTCTGCAGCTGTGATTATCCTTCCATTTCTGAGTCACCCCCGAAGGGTGTGAGTCGACTGTATTGCGTCTGTCTGTCCTACCCATTTCACTGTCATTCCTTCTTTACGTCTTTAGCTGTAGAAGATCTTTTCTGCTCATCTTCATGTCGTTCTCATCGATAATGGCTCTAAGTAGCAATAATTTTGGTGTTCCCATGGGAGGAGGCAAGCCCGGATCTTCTTACTCTGCCACATTTTACATGATACCTTTCAAAGATATCTCAAGTGTGTTTTTAATTCATTGGAATTCTAGTAAGTTCTCTCTGGGCCCTTCCTCCCTGGATCCTCCCTTTGTTGGTTTCTGTGGTTTTCATTCTCTTACTTTGTGTCTAGACATCATGTAACAAATATTTATTGAGTCCCTATAAACCACGAGGCTTTGTGATGGATGCTAGGTGTAAAGTGGTGAAGAACTAGACACAGATCCTTTCATCGTGACACTCACAGTTTGAAGGGGGATGTAGACACACACACACACACACACACACACACACACACCCCTCCAGCCAGAGGGATGCAGGCTGGGTGGGAGTGCATGTGCTGCTGTGGGGCCCCTAGCAGTGGTGGAGAGCTCAGGGAAGGGCTCCTGAAGGAAGTGATGCCAACTCTGATATCTGTTGTCTGTAGGCAGGGTGGTCAGAGTCAAAGCCAGCCAGAAAAGGTTACCCCCAAAAGTAAGAGCCTTCCAGAAAAAAATCCACCCTCCCCACCGCAAAAAAAAAAAAAAAAAAAAAAAAAAAGCCAAAGCCAGCCAGGTCAGGGGAGGATAGCTATTTGGGTGGGCAAAACAGCACACCGAAAGACCCAGAAAAGAAAAACAGATACAAGGGACTGTGCTTGTTGAGTCCTCCAGAAGGCAGATGCCAACATGAGAAGGAGTAGGTGCACGAGGGATTTATTGAGAGAGACTCTTGTGATGGAGCAAGAGGAGGGGAAGCGGGAGTTGCGAGGAAGAGTCTCGGAGCTGGGTGCAAACCTGGTGTCTGGGAGCAGAGAAGGACGGCGAGGAGGCGAGAGGCAGACAAGCCCCCACTGCGGGGCAGCCCGGGGGCCTCCTGGGCCAGGCCTGTGGGGCTCCAGGGCACGAGGACTTGCTGGAAGGGTCCCAGGAGGGCCAGGAATGGTCGGGATCCGGGACCCACTGTGCTGGGTTGTCGGCTGGGAGCACCCTGGAGAGCGGGCTTTAGTGGAGGCTGGGTGGACTCCTCAGGGGCCGCCCTGCAGCTGTGAGCGCACCGCTGCTCTCCTCCGAGCAAAGCCCCCTTGAGGGGAGGGCTGGCTGGCTGGCTGCCCTGTGGCTGCCTTGGTCCACCCTGCCCACGGCAGCATGTTCACAGCCGTGTTCAGGAGAAGCACCTCCGTGGTGCCCATGGTCATCTGCTCGGGGGTTGGGGGGAAGGCCTGGAGAGGCAGGTTAGCCTGAAGAAACACAGCCCGCACTGCTGCGCTTGGTCTCAGGGCTGTGACGGGGGTTCATTATCTCCCCTGCGTTAGCCATCACCTCCTCAGGTCTTGGTGTTTTAGTTTATGCTGTAGTGCTCACCGTCGTTCTTGAGGGGCAGAACCCCTGGTCATCATCACCTTCTTCAGTTCAGTCCAGTCACTCAGTTGTGTCTGACTCTTTGTGACCCCATGGGCTGCAGTACACCAGGCCTTCCTGTCCATCACCAACTCCCGGAGCTTACTCAAATTCATGTCCATCAAGTCGGTGATGGCATTCAACCATCTCATCCTCTATTGTCCCCTTCTCCTCCCGCCTTCAGTCTTACCCATGAAGATTGAATAACCCAGAAAGATTCAATAACTTTCTTAGGTCAGCGCTGTTGCACACTCAAGTTCTAACTTGGCAGAGAGTGGATCATCTGAAGTGAACCAGGTGGGTCACCTGGTGCCTCCTGTGTTCTTGCCTTCACCCACTCTGAGAAAGAAGCAGTGTTCTGATGCAGATCCAGATCAGATGTCCCGCCGCCGTGATGACTCCCCTTCTTGCCTGCTGCTCTTTGCAGGCAAGTCCGGAGTGCACCAGGGCAGCCATGATTTGTGGTTCAGGGGACGCATTCCAAGAGTGTGTTCCTTTGGGAACCAGGACTTCTGTCCTGGAGCTCTGGTTGTGAGAAGCATGAAGTCCCTCAATGGGTCATTAGAAGTGATGATGATTGAGGCCACTCCTGTTCTTCTCCTTGGTCCCCTGACTCATGTTTCCTTCCTACTAGAAACAGTACCATAGTGAGGTTCTCTAGTGCAGTGTGTATTCCTGCAGAGTATTGCTTCCAATGGAGGAGGAAATGGCAGCCCACTCCAGTATTCTTTCCTGGGAAATCCCATGGACAGAGGAGCCTGGCGGGCTACAGTCCATGGGGTTGCAGAGTCAGACATGACTTAGTGATTAGACCATCACCACCACCATTGCTTCTAAGTTGGCACTTCCATCCCATTTTCAAGACAGTTCCAGTTCCTCTTTGAGGGTGGCTGCTTCTGGATGGTGCAGGAAGTGATTTGACAAGTTGACCTCCTGCTCTTGAGGAGTCTTGTGCAGTTTGTTCACTGTGCCGTGAATCCCCTGTTAGATGCTGTGTTGTACAGGATCTCATGACTGGGGGTCAGGGACTCTGTAAACATTCACAAAATGGTGCTGGTTGAGGTTCTCTGAGCAGAAAAGGCAAACCATACCCAGAAGAGGTATATGTCCCTATAAGTGTTAACCACTAGCCCTTTCAGAATGGAAGGGACCCAATATGGTCAACCAGCCACCAACAGGAGAGCTGTTCTTCTTAGGCACGTGTGTCTTACTGGGGCTGTGTTCCGAGATCATCTGACCAGCAGTTAGGTCATCTTAGGAACTGGAAGTCCATGCTGTTGGACCCAGGCACAGCCCACACCGCTCCCAGCATGGCTGTACCAGTCACATGCACTTGTTAGTTTCGGGGTTGCCAGTGATGGTGATGGACTAGTATCAATGGGGTGAACTATATTCGTGGTTCTTCAGTGCCTTTCCCTGGTGTATGATTGCTGGTGGACGTTGGTGTAACACAAAATTCCTCACATTGCGTTTGCATGTGCCACTGCCTGTCTTCCTTCTGTGTCTCTGATCGGACAGCCAGACCATTGGCCACTGCCCAGAATCTGCTTATGTGCTAACAACACTGGCCCACTTTTGAAAACTTCCACACAGTGTGGGTGACCAGATACAACGCCTTCTATTCCACCCACTAAGAAGATTTCCCCTCTCCACTCTCCTTTAAGACCACTCATGAGTGTGGCTAGAATGAAGTCTTCCTCTTTTTGGTTTTTACTCATGTATTGGGTTGGCCAGAAAGTTCATTCGAGTTTCTCCGTCAGACGCGGTGGGAAAACCTGAGCAACCCTTTTGGCCAAGCGCCGTGTGAACAAGGATTGTTTTTCTCTTCCTCGGTTGGGTCGTCCTCTGTGGCCCCCACGTGGTCTTGGGTGTGAGCTGGGGGAGGGGCACTGGTGCAGCTCTGGGATGTGGCTTGGTGATCGGACTAAGTGCTCGTGCCCTCCAGCCCTAGCTGGGCTCGATTTCAGAGGCAATGTTTCCATCTCACAATGCGCTGATTCTGGTTCCCCTGGATTTGATGACTGTTTGTGCCCAACAGATTTAGGCCAAGATGACTGGGCTTTCATACCCCTGCCTAGCCTGGGCTTCCCAGGGGGTGCTAGTGGTGAAGAACCTGCTTAACCACTGCAGGTAGACATAAGCGACGTGGGTTCAATCCCTGGGTTGGGAAGATTCCCCCTTGGAGTAGGAAGTGGCACTCCATTCCAGTATTCTTGCCTGGAGAATCCCTTGGACAGAGGAGCCTGGCGGGCTACAGTCCCTGGGATCGCACGGAGTCGGACACAGCTGAGCACACATGCATGAGAGGTGGTTGATTCTCTGGGAGTAATGTTCCTAAAGATAAATAACTCTAGTACCGTCCTGAGCCTGGCCACAGGAGGTCGGTTGCTTAAGGGATGTTTTGACCTCAGGTGAGGTGACTGTCTGCTGACTGCTCTCCCAGGAAGAAAGGACATCACGAGCTAAACTGTTAGAACAGGCAAAGCTGTGGTGGGACAGCATGGCATTTTCTGGTGGCACAGATGTTTACATGTTTTCAGAGCACAGACCGCAGGGCCAAGAGAAGCTGCAGGACTTACGTGTGCAGAGTTAGAGAGCCTGAGATAATGACTGTGACTGAGGTTTCTATGGAGTGCTTTTATTGAGTGACTGTTATATATATGCCTTGTGTTTTATTTATAGTATTCTTATTTATTCCTGAGGTTGCCAAGATATTGTTATTGACAGTTTACTCATCAGGAATAAGGCTCAAAGAGAATAACTAATGCCCAAGATCACACATTGAATGCATGGCAAATCTAGGATTTCTTTGTGCCACTAAACCTTGTTTATATCAAAAAGACATCCATTGACTGAAAGTGTGAGAATTACATGGTCAGATTTTCAACTTAGATGAATTTATGGGGAAAAGTATGGGAATGGGTCATATGTTAGAGATAGGAAGGTCAGACGAGAGGCTGCTAGAAAAGTCTAGGTGAGAGATGACTGACACTGGCCTGAAGGGTGGTGAGCATGCGGATGGAGAGGAGGAGTTGGAGCTGAGAACATTCGTGAAGTAACACTGTCTCGGTGTTGAGAGTGACTGAAAGCAGAGGCTTCAGAGGGTAAGGGGTCACTGCAGTTTCTGCTTTAGGGCCATTGTGAACGGAGGTGATGAGAA